AACCCTCAATGTGCAAAGAAACACACAAGAAAAAGAAAAGCACACGTAGATCAGCACACACACCCTTTTTATATATATTTATTTTTAAGTATTCAAAAGAGAGCTAGAAGAACCCTCAATGTGCAAAGAAACACACAAGAAAAAGAAAAGCACACGTAGATCAGCACACACACCCTTTTTATATATATTTATTTTTAAGTATTCAAAAGAGAGCTAGAAGAACCCTCAATGTGCAAAGAAACACACAAGAAAAAGAAAAGCACACGTAGATCAGCACACACACCCTTTTTATATATATTTATTTTTAAGTATTCAAAAGAGAGCTAGAAGAACCCTCAATGTGCAAAGAAACACACAAGAAAAAGAAAAGCACACGTAGATCAGCACACACACCCTTTTTATATATATTTATTTTTAAGTATTCAAAAGAGAGCTAGAAGAACCCTCAATGTGCAAAGAAACACACAAGAAAAAGAAAAGCACACGTAGATCAGCACACACACCCTTTTTATATATATTTATTTTTAAGTATTCAAAAGAGAGCTAGAAGAACCCTCAATGTGCAAAGAAACACACAAGAAAAAGAAAAGCACACGTAGATCAGCACACACACCCTTTTTATATATATTTATTTTTAAGTATTCAAAAGAGAGCTAGAAGAACCCTCAATGTGCAAAGAAACACACAAGAAAAAGAAAAGCACACGTAGATCAGCACACACACCCTTTTTATATATATTTATTTTTAAGTATTCAAAAGAGAGCTAGAAGAACCCTCAATGTGCAAAGAAACACACAAGAAAAAGAAAAGCACACGTAGATCAGCACACACACCCTTTTTATATATATTTATTTTTAAGTATTCAAAAGAGAGCTAGAAGAACCCTCAATGTGCAAAGAAACACACAAGAAAAAGAAAAGCACACGTAGATCAGCACACACACCCTTTTTATATATATTTATTTTTAAGTATTCAAAAGAGAGCTAGAAGAACCCTCAATGTGCAAAGAAACACACAAGAAAAAGAAAAGCACACGTAGATCAGCACACACACCCTTTTTATATATATTTATTTTTAAGTATTCAAAAGAGAGCTAGAAGAACCCTCAATGTGCAAAGAAACACACAAGAAAAAGAAAAGCACACGTAGATCAGCACACACACCCTTTTTATATATATTTATTTTTAAGTATTCAAAAGAGAGCTAGAAGAACCCTCAATGTGCAAAGAAACACACAAGAAAAAGAAAAGCACACGTAGATCAGCACACACACCCTTTTTATATATATTTATTTTTAAGTATTCAAAAGAGAGCTAGAAGAACCCTCAATGTGCAAAGAAACACACAAGAAAAAGAAAAGCACACGTAGATCAGCACACACACCCTTTTTATATATATTTATTTTTAAGTATTCAAAAGAGAGCTAGAAGAACCCACAATATGCAAAGAAACACACATGAAAAAGAAAAGCACACGTAGATCAGCACACACACCCTTTTTATATATATTTATTTTTAAGTATTCAAAAGAGAGCTAGAAGAACCACCAAACACTTTTTACCATTAGCAACATGAAGCACCTAAGGGAACTTCATATATTCATGGAAACTGAATCTTAAACAGATTCACAATAGTATATGGACTAGAAACCTGACTAGAAACCTCTCAGGTACACAAGAGGAAACAGCGCATCGCAAGACCCATCTCTCTATTCCATCACAAAACGGCCTAAACTTACAATTCAAACGCTTACCTTTAAGTTACCTGTGCACTTGTCACTTGGGAAATACTGGGCAATGAGTAAAAGAAGCTCACACATTTCAGACACCAGAAGCAGAGTATTTTGTGAATAAATTATTATATATATATATATATAAATAAAATTATAATTAATCTCTCTTTCCCTGATCTGTATTTTCAGCTTTAGGACCGTTCAGCCTTGTACCAAACTGGGTTTAATTACACACAGAGCAAATGAAGTGAGGAAAAAAAGGCTGCTGGCCACAGAGGAAACTGACATGAACACTTCATACTGACAAATTGTGGCCAACTATTTTTTGATACCATTAGTGATGGTAACAAACAACACTTTGAGGAATAATTCTGGTTCCTGATGATTTTCATACCCGCAAGAGGACTTAAAGCAGGTATTTTAACATCCCCAACTAAGCAGCCTTCAATAAGGGGATTCATTGTATATTCACTTTAGTAAGAGTGAGGGATGAGGCTTTCTGTTGTTTTTTGGTTTTTTTTTTTTCCTGTCAGTCTCTCTACGTTACCACAATGCTATACAATCTGTCTCTCCAGGGTTACAACAGCTCTGTCAAAATCATCTCCAAACGCTCACATAAGCTTGTGCTGATCGATCCACTACGCATATAATTCCTATGGCACGAGGCTAGCAGAAATTAAAACAACATTTTGTGGAGACAAAGAGATATTAAGGCAATGTCAGCAACAGATATCTCTGCTGCTTCTTTGCACTGAGATCCATTTGCCCAACCGCACGTAACTGACAGAACAGAAACACTCAAAAAATCAATGATGGCAAATCATTGGCACGTCTAACTCTGGTGTTGAAAGAGATTTGGGCTGGCACCAATGAAACTAAGTCATGCTGCCAAATTTCAAAAGGCATGAGGCTCTGTTGCTGCTATTGACACATTCCTCTCTCAGGGGAAAAGAGAGAGAACCATTTTGAACTATAAAAACCTCCATCTATTCAACTCCTCACTCCTTGCTAGCCCATGGAGATCTTTCATTTCAAGCTCTGTGAGGCGGGCAGGCTTTTCTGCTGGCTGCTGCTGTACAGCACTGAGCACAGCTAAATCTCATCCAGCACTGGGGTTCTTGGAAAATATCATTAAACACTGAAGAACAGCAAACAAGGAATAAGTTGCTCATTTTTTTGGATTATCCGAACTCTGTGGCATCAAATAGGTTTTGCCAACATAATTCAAACCTCTCCCTGCCTTCCAGATTCACACCAACATAGCGTTAAATATTTCTCTGAGCCTCTGTAAAAGCTCTCAGCTGCTGAGAAGTATGCAAATGAGTAGCAAGTACCTAAAATGACATCATTTTCAAGTAGGCACTCTATAGGATACATCTCTCCTCCAGGGATGATCCCTAGGAAACGGTCCCCAGTTCATATGCTGTTCCCAGTACCAGCTGCTGCCAGTTCAACTGGTAATAAGTTACTCTCTCTTCATGCAAGTGTAAACCGGGGTAGTGAACCAGAGCCCGATTCTGCAGTGCACTGTAAGCACTCACACACATTCTCAAGTGCTGCCTGAGCCCTGATTTTCGTTTCTCCTGAAGGTTTTCAGGTTTTTAAACTGGAAAATATAACCTCACCAACTCACTATAAATTCAACAGCAAAATTCCCAATTTAAAAGCGATTCTGATCAAGTCTCCTGCATCACAGAGTGCATCTGGTTCCTTCACTGCAATTACTCAGCTGAATTATTCATGATAATATCACTGCGCCACTGCCAAAGAAACCACAGTACATTTTAAAAGAGTGGTGCAAGACCATTGTGCATTTTGAGAGAATTAATGGATTTAGGTATTACAATTTAAAACCACAATGTATTCCAGGTGAATTAGAATAACAAAGCGAAACGAGCACAGCCCCTTGCTAAACTCGGGTTTATGTAGTAATTTTGTAATCCTAGACATGTTATTGCCAGTGTTAAAAACAGATCACTGAGCTTGTTTTAAGGACATACTAGATGAGCAGTTTGCTGAGGCATTCTGTGAAGCACATGCGTGCAGCCAGGTGCACAAGGTTTCCTGAAAGGCATGTGCCACAGCTCAACCCCCTATCTGGAGACAGTATACACTAACCAAAGTTTTCAGACCCACCCAGCTACAGCTGCATTGTTGTTTCTAACAAAAACAATTTAAAAAAAATAATTTTAAAATTATAAAGAGGAAGTGTAACACAAGCACAAATGCTTCTTGGAAAGAGATCACATTTCTTCAGAATTCAGGCTGGATATTAGGAAAAATTTTTTCACTGAAAGGGTTCTCAGCCATTGGAATGGGCTGCCCAGGGAGGTGGTTGAGGCACCATCCCTGGAGGTGTTCAAAAGACAGGTAGTAGTAGTAGTGCTGGGAGGTATGGTTTAGTGATGATGCTCCTTGTTTGTTGTGTGGGTGTCTATTTTTGTCAGTTAGGTTGACGGTTGGACAAGATGATCTTTAAGGTCCCTTCCAACCTAGAAGATTCTGTGATTCTGTGATTCTGAATTGTCAGCCCTTCTCTCTCTGCTCAAACTTTCACTGTTGACATCAATGACACCGCATAGAAAAGATTCTCCTTAACACTAATTCCTCAAGATCAAACCCTTCATCATGAGCGTTGCTGAGGCAGAAAGCCACACCTCACATCAGCTCAGTTGGGAACACGGTTATGAAGGCCTTGGGCAGGTGTCTCCAGTGACAATACAGATTCAGGACAATGCTATGGCCCCTGCCATAGCACACAGAAAAACTGAAGACTTTTCTTCTTTAAAAAAATAAAATAAAATGACTATAGGGCAAAAAAAAATCTCCATTCTAACTTTCCTATAACACTAGAGGTCTCCTTGTTGTCCCCCACCATGCCCATGCTCAAAGACTGGAACTGAACCATTCCTTCCTCTCCTGAAATCTCATTAGTGTTTTCCAAAGCTCCTTCCCTGTTTTCACAGACAGAAGGAACCTAGGTTTACATCAAACTTAGGTCAATTCAAGCTAAGCACTGATCCTCATTGTGATAATCACAAGGATATAAATGAACAAAGGAACTTTACTCCATAATTACCACGAGCATTCCAACATTCAGTCTTTTCTTGTTTCTCTTTGCTTTTTGCCTTACCTTGTTAATACCCTCAGATTTCACAAATATACTTCAGTAACAAGATGTATGCCTCAACTGTATTGTTGGTAATCAGCTTGTAAATAACTCCAACTCACTAGTTAAATTGAAGAAGGACAAAACAGTGATTTCTTACCTTTATCAGTTCTTTGAACTTGGGGTCTTCTTTTGAGTTAGGATCAATCATAGTGCGTTCTTCATTCTCCTCTGTCCAAGTAAAATGGGAAACTTTAGCTAGATCCACTTCAAATGTACACTGCTGAAACAATTCCTAACCACCAGGCCTGTCAGCTGATAAAGAAATGACAGTGCCTAGTCATCATCTTAGCAAGGGAATATCTGATGATCAAAGTATTGGGCATTTTTAGAGATGTGCAGTAACGTAACACAGCACTAACTTCCCTAAAATGCGATTGTTTCCACTGACCTTCCCCAACTTAGACCCTGAAGAACACATCAGGAAGATGACTCTCCTCTATATACCCTGTGGAGAATGTTACCATTAACATGCCAAAAAGTGCAGTCAACTGCTTCTCTCCCTCTCCTCAATTTGTATTAAATTTCCGTTTGAAAACACCTGTCCCAGACGACAGCATCTTGAAGAGCACAGCAAGCTTATGGCACTACGCTCAGTGCAACCACTGAGACTTGGCTGGCAGCCTGTGCCTCTGCTCTCTGGTTCCCTGAAACTTGGTGACACACACTACACCAAGTGCCTGAACTCCTTAACCTCTGGTTAAGCTGGAGAATGAAAACTACCCCAATTTGTACCAGTTACTTGAGCTCAGTAAGGCTGACAACCAAACAGCCTTTGACAGAATTATCTTCACAATGACACACGCATCACACGCATGTTCATATGTTACCGTAGATATGGATACCAGTATTTAGGAAGCAGCTGGAGTAAGTCTCATATTTTACATTCTGGTGCTTGCTTTCAAGTAGCACACTGCTCCCTACACTCTTCATTTGAGCTCCTCTAGTAACAAAGTGGTAGCTACGATCTAGGTTAGATCTGTTCCTTTCAGTGGAGAGCAAACCCTGGCTACTACACAACAGGAACACAAGGACAGGCACATGAGGGGATCCACATCTCTTCAGCTAAAATAATTATAGCACATGAGAGGATCCACATCTCTTCAGCTAAAATAATTATTTATAGACCCCCATGAATTTATCTTTAGCTGAGTCTAGATGTGCTATACAGAGTCCTATTTTCCTACTGACTTCTCAGTTCCTTCCAACATGACAACGAAGGAGGGTTTTTGGTATGACTGCTGGTCAGGCCATTGCCACACTGCACAGAGGAACCCTTTCCAACAACGAACAACCTACAGCAACTTCCTAGTGCAGTGCTGGAACCATGACACTCGCACATCCTAGACACAAGACAGATACCTTAGACTTCACGCAGACATTTGGGTTCAGTATTTTCCAGGGTCCCTGACCTTTATTAAAAAAATAAGGCCATGCTCTCTGAGCGTACTTGACAAATTTCCACAAACTTAGGAAAAAAACTGAATTCTTTTGCTGCTTTTCCCCTCACACCCTGTTCCTTTACTTCCTCATTACACCCTGGGGTGATTCAGCTCAGTTGGTAGAGCATCTGTCGTTCATTCAGTGCAGCCCAAACCACAACAGGCAGTCTAGTCATAAGGAAGTGGCACCCACTACACACCCAAAATATCGCGAACTGAAACCCTGAACAAGATTTGACCCAGAACTATACATGATCCACCACAGAACCTTGCTGAAGGTTCACCGGTGGTCATGTCTTTGCATGACAGGCCTTCAGGAGCGGTCTTGCATCTTCTAAAGTCATACACACCTTTAGCGGTAGCCAGAAGAAATCACTGGAGACATTCCTGATCCACAGATATACGGACAGCAATCAACACTTTGACCACGTCTCAGAACAGCACTTTGCATTTCCTACTATTCTTCTAATCAGAAGAGTTACATGACTAACATTTTTTTGTTTTAAATTTCCTCGTTTATTATTTGTCTCCGTGGCAGTTTGCTTCAGCTAATTACATAGATTAGGAGAAATATGGCCAGGAAAGAAAAAAGTATTTTATTCCAACAAGTTTTAAACACTTTTTTGCTATTAAATTATGATGTTAGTCTTCTAGGGACTTGAGGAGAGTGGGGAAAAGAGAGAACAGGAATTTGAACACTCACTCTCTTTCTAGAAAGCATTCCTTGTTTTAAATACTTCTAATCACATTTAATTTCTATTTTCAGCAGTCTAAATGCTCATCTGTTCATTCAGTATCGGATCCCATTTTGCTGTACTGTCACTTGCAAAGTGGCAGCAGCAACCCAGGGAGGAACATGGCATCCACTAGTTAACAACAGTCAGTACGTACATTGAGACAGTCTAAGGGTTCCATAGGAACCACAACACACACTTCTGCTACAGACCTTCTGTGAGTTGGCCTTTTGCACTTCAGTTCCGAATTTGTGTATAAATAAAAATATATATATAGAGACAGAAAGGATATCACTTGCTTACCAGAGACGGATGTCCCTGAGGACAAATAAAGACCAAGATCCACATGACCAGTTGGTTAATGGAACTGAAGTCACTCTTAAACAGACAAATTCAGCAGTATTTTCCATCTAATTCTTTCCAAATCTCAACTTTCTATTTGCTTTCAGGGGGACCACAGAAGAACTCAGTTCTCTGTCAATTCATCGAACAAGTCGATTTTCCCATGAACTATCTAGTTGAAGTGTACCTGCATAGCTGGCACTGCTCTTTCAATTCTGATTTAGCCCTTCTGATTTCTGATCTACATGTGACATGCAACAGTTCTCAACCCTCATGCTCAATTCTCTCAGTTTCAACTGAGCAATCTACATTCAACAGTAAAGCAGAGGATATGGGGGTCACCGTGGCCACCTTCATTAATAATTGCTTAGTTGAGGTCTGTAGCTCGAATACTTTACCTAATAGGGTGTCTTCTGGATGGATGTCCACAGCACTTGGGTTCATTGGTGCATTGATAGCATTTTTACCTTCTTCTTGGAGGTCACTCACTGAAGAGAAGGAAAAAACAGAAAGAAAGACTGTAATAAATGCAAAGTTTGCAGATATGTAGTGGTTGACGTGGGTATTCATCCTAAGAGAAAACATCTGGTAGATCCATTTCAAAATAGGCCTACAGTTTATGGAATTAAGAAATGCAGCCACAGTGGAAAATAAAATCAAAGTAACATCCTTTTATAGGGTCTTATTAAACTGAGCCACCACACTACTAGCTGAAAATATTTTGCAAGAAACCCAATTCTGTGGCAAGAGCAGCCTCAAGAGTGCTTGTTTCTCCAGAAGGAAAGGGTGTGAGCTTTGTCTGCAGGATGGCCCATATCTACAGCAAACTGTAAAAACAAACTCTGTTTCTGACAGGTTGACCACCACTCCTCACCACCTTTTCCAGCTGCAAAATAGCAGGAACTGCAACTTGTTACTGACCTTATTAAAAGCCTCAGAGAATCCCAGGGAGACTTACCAAATAAAGATGAAAATGTATTTAATTCTAGCATTGCCACAGGCTAAAAATAGATGTAGCATGATCTGGTGAACACAAATCTGGAATTTCTGATTTCAAGCTTTTACCCCAATCCTACAGCTCTCATTTAGGAAAGTCAGTAAAGTACCCTTCATCAATAAAATGGATATTAAACAACTTTCCTATGTCCTGCCACATGGGAGGAACCGAACTTGAGAAAAAGTACTGAACAACTGTTTAGTATCGTCCCAGAGATTTACAGTAAGAAAAGCAGTGTACCAATGTTACACTCTCCAAGGTACATCTCCCCCTAAGGGCAGATAATGATTATTTCTTATAAGCCAAGCTATTGAAGTACATACATTTGAAATGAGGGATACAAAGACACTGTAATAACACCATCTATTCAGTTAGCGTGGGCTAAGATAATTTGTGGCAGCATTTGTGGTATTGCAGTCTCCTTGGGAGAGGTCCAAATCCCATACATTTTTAGGGGGAAACCAAGGATATCCAAATAAAGAAGGTCTGCAAGACAAACTTCTCTGGGGAAAGAAAAGGAGGAACAGCTAACTAATAGTAACAGTATCCCAACAAGCACTTCCTTCAAGAATAGTCACTACACCCTTTTCCAGTTGGAAAATCAAACCACAGGCTAATCATTTGCATGCAGTCTGTAGAGGTTACAAAATCGGTACTTGTTTTTTTCCTGCTAAATAGAAGGGGGAAACACAGTAATCCTACTGCCCCAGAGAAGGAGAGGGAAGAAGAACCCACTACAATCTCCACTCCTTCATCCACAGACACTTGAAAAGAAGGCGCTTAAAACAAGTTACCACATTTCTTAATTGCAGTTCCAAGACGTTAGCTAATTCTGGTTTGCAGCACGACATTGAGCATGACTAAAATCCTCAATTATGAAATTCCGTTCTTATGTTCTGCAAGCAACAAACACCAGTCCCACACTTTTGAGACCTTGTGGCTTATGAACCGTGTTAAGAGAGGCTGGTTAGAGCTAACAAGGCACAAACCCTGCAGGGAAGGGGGGTCTGCCAGCAGTATGCACAGCCTGCTTTCTGCATTGTGTCCCCTCTGCAAAGGGAAGGGAACAGAACAGCATCCCCGACTGCAAACAAAATGCCGTGTCTGCAGGCTGAGATTTAACCTCCCGAATAAATGCTGTTATTAAAGAAACTCTTAATTATCCCTTTTCTGCATTCATTCTCATTTTTTGGAAAGCTCTCCAAACAAAACTCAGGGAGCTAAGAGGCCTCTTAGACAGAGCAAAACAGCTCTCACAGCATGCCTTACCCAGCCCTGTCTGCATTACACCCAACTAGAGCTTTCTCACCTGCCCAGCTCTTACGCTGAGATGCCAACAGGAACCCAGCCACCAGGAGGCACAAGAAAAAGTCATGTGGAAACTGGATATTACAGGTGAAGATTTTTAAAACCCTGCTAGGACCATAAATGCACACATTCCACTTAAACCATACTCTGTTTGAAAGTAGCAGCCTTCTTTCTAGATCTAACTCTTTTCATTATTACAGCATCGCTGTCGTTCTGGGAATGCCAAGCGTTCGATAAGGTCAGGGCATCGCTGTTCCTAATGTTCAACAAATGCAGGAGAGAGCTGCTAAGTTCTTCTGGGCAGTGAATACATGGTACCGTCTTCAGCATATGCTATATAAACAAAATGCAGCATAGCCAGAATGCTATTAAGCCAGAATGCTTTTAAATGCGGGTAAACTATTTTTATGCCGAAAAGTTTAATTAAGATGATACATCTGCTCTTTTTTTTAAAATATAAAATGATCTCCACTCTTCATAACGGAAATACCTTGTTTCTGAACAATTTACTAAACTAAAAGAAAATATTAATAGCAATTTGTCTATTAAGCCCCCATCCCTCACGACACGGAGAGCCACATAAAAACTCTTACGCTTGCCTGCGGATCCAGTGCAGCTGGGCCAGATCCCATAGGACCACAACCTCCTCTCCTACTGCCACCAGCAAAGCACGGCTATGCCAGCAGAAAGTCTCCCAGAGCCTGCTGCCCAGGGACAGCCCTGCTTACAGAGAACCCCTACACCAGGTCCTAGACAGAACTTAGGAGGAGATTCTGGCTACAAACATGATGTCTCCTACCTCCTTTTTTGCGCCTCTTGCACAGGAGCCCTGCCATCCCGGCGGTGGCAGATGAACCGGCATGGGCCGTCTGAACGCTGAAGGAGCAGCAGCAACTGGATAAGGGGCTGCCACCTCGGGACTGCCAAACCTATGTTAATTTGGGCAGGGTGACACAGGAGGAGGCACTAAGATAGCCTCCCAGCTGCTAGGTTGGGGGAGCAAGTGGGAGGGAGGACACAGCCATGGACTCCCAGCCAGGAATGCCTCCCTGTCCTTTGGCCGGTAGCCTCCCTCGGCCTGCTGCTGGCCACCCCAGAGCAGGCTCCTCAAAGACGGTGTTTTCTCTGCAAGGAGCTTCCCGAGAAAGCCATCTCCACCCTCTGGCCAAAGCACAGTTGGGTTCCCCACCACGACATCTTGCCCCACAGAACACACCGACTCACAGAGTAACAGCCAGGGTGCAGAGGAGCAACTGTGCTCAGGAACATCAAATCTGCCAGGGGTCTCCCAACAACTTGCTGCACTCCAGAACCCTTTCATGCTGCACTTGAACAAATGCTGAGGACGTTTTCCCCCCCCCAACTCTTGCTGCCCCCAGTGTTCACTTATCACTGTTGAGCAAAGAACAGAAGAGGAAAAGGAAACCGAGCCACAACGCTGGAAAACAAAACAGAGAACCCACAAATGAACAAGTGGAGATAGTTAAAATAATAGTCAGGATGGGAGCGGTGGGTACATTTCTGAGAAGAACCTGATATGCGTTTTAATGCAAATTTACAACAAAGAACAGGTTTCGGCCCATACTTTCACAAGCCCCAAGGTACTGTAAAAGATCTGGAGCCCTCAATATAGGAAGGACACAGACCTGATGGAGCAGGTCCAGAGAAGGGCCACAAAAATGATCAGGGGGTTGGAGCACCTCTGCTACAAGGACAGGCTGAGGGAGCTGGGGTTGTTCAGCCTAGAGAAGGCTCTGGGTAGACCTCATAGCGGCCTTCCATTGTCTGAGGGGGGCCTACAGGAGGGATGGGGAGAGCCTGTTTAGAAAGGCCTGCAGTGACAGGACAAGGGACAATGGCTTCAAGCTGGGGAAGAGCAGATTTAGACTGGAGATTAGGAACAAGTTCTTTACCATGAGGGTGGTGGAGCACTGGAACAGGTTGCTCAGGGAGGTGGTTGAGGCCCCATCCCTGGAGATATTCAAGGAGAGGCTTGACGAGGCCCTGGGCAACCTGGTCTAGTTGGGGGTGTCCCTGCTGACTGCGGGGGGGTCAGACTAGATGACCTTTGCAGGTCTCTTCAGGCCCGGACCATTCTATGATTCTATGATTATGGATATTAATGGATTGGCAAATGCCAACCTCCTCAACCTGCCCTACTAGATCAGCAACAGTGGCTTTGCTGTAAGATTTATACCAGGGCCTTCCATCAAACAAGCCATCCATGCAAGAGGGCATTTTACTGGTAGAGCAGAGCTGCGCTTGGCACCACAGCCTATAGTCATGACAGGTCCCACATGAGGTGTTACCGCTTCTTGCCCGCTCTCCACCTACCCCATTCACAGGTCCCCTTCGATTCCTCATAGGAAACATCTTCCCCTGTCATGTTGGCATAGTTCCTTGGTCTCTAAACGACATCTGTGTAAAACATCCTTCTCTAAAGCCTAATTATTTCATTTCATAGAATGGTCAGAGAAAACCTGCCACAGGGGAAGACAGGAAGGGGGAAGAAATTGAGGGCAGGCTGGAGTAGCATCACTTAGGTTCTGCTGAGGACCAGCCTGGACTTTCCTGTATCTGTTACCCTGGGCCAGTTTGTTTGCCCCCACTGACAGGCCAGGGCAGGGCAGAGGTCTCCCTCAGACGTGCCAGCAGAACTTGTAGGAGCAGCCCCAGCATCCAGGGAATGCTCTTCTGCCCACGAAAAGAGTTTGCCCCCACCCTGACCCACTACACAGACTCTGCTAAACGGTTACAGCCTTCACATAAAACTTGCTGATGGTCTAAAAGGCTCGGCTGTGAACTTGCACAGGACAAGTCAGGTGTAACTACAGGCACAGAAAGATGATCGCCTTGGAAGGGCATCTGGCAGAATTAACCACAATTTCTCCCAGATGTCTGGTATAGCCTTCCTCACTTCTGGCTGGAGATCTCTTCTCTGAGCAGATCCTCAATTAACAGGCAGCACCAGCCCTCCAAATTGCTTCAGCCAGCACTAGCAAAATCCCAATGTAGCCAGGGACAGGCAGGTGGCCAAAGCATTCAGCGAAAACTCCGAGTATTTCCCTAAACCAAAAATTTAAATTCATGAGTAAAAGGTCACTTCTCCACCAGTCCCCAGGAAAGCAGCGAGGGTTCCTGGCAGCCCTCCCATGTTTTAACAGTCTCCTGGCAGTGTCAGCA